CTGGAGGATATAGGAAATGTGATAGGCCAGGGCAGAACGGTAGATACCATAACTGTTTAGCACACGTTTGGTCAAAGGATCGGCTTCACTTGTCTCTTTGACGAGTTGTAAGATAATGCTACGAATGGTAAAACTCACTGACAATGCCGACAAAACGTCTGGGAATGTACCGCGTCCACGGTCCGACTTTGGAAATAACTATGCATAAAATCGACTCAGGACAAGGTGCGTTTCTATAAGTCTTCCTACCATTATGAACAAGTTGCGAAAACAATGTCAAACAACTTCTATACTCATATCGTTGTGAGAAAATTAAACTCTGAGTCCTTCATTATTTTAAGCGAAATAGGGTGAATACAGGTCTTAAAATTGAAAGTTGCTTCCAAATAATTAATAAAATGTATTTAGCCACTACCTCATGTGATATAGGATGTTGATATAACCTCATTCATGGTTTTAAAAACTTAACTGATAGGTTTTGCACTAAAATGCATAAAAGTATTGGAAAACTGTCGATTTGGACTATATGTATTTCACAACGCGTGATTTTGGGCTGAAATAAGGCATAATTTCGCCAGTTAATTTCATCCAGTATTATTGAATAAAACGTCAATTTATCCAAGTTGGATAACAATTTCGACGTCTTCCAGATTTTATGAGAGTTTATAAGAAGACTTAAAAAAGATAAATAAATGTGAATGAACAAATTCCACATGTTAAACTAATCTCCACCCCTCGTCATTTCTGCATAGTCTTGTCTCCATTACTGTAAACAAAAACAATGATTCATTGAATATGACATTTAAGAGCAGGCCTTACATTTAGCATGAGGAATAAAAAGATCAAAAACGCGAAACCATCGAATAAAGAAGTTAAATTAAGACGTGAGAAAATCAGGATAATCTTTGATCAATCAAGACATTCTAAGTAAATAAGGAAAAAAAAGAATACAATAAATTAAAGGAAGTAAGCTCTAGATGAGCCAACTCAAGCCAGAAATATAATTTTTAAAACGAAATCAAAAAGAAGTTGGAGAAAGGATTTTAGATAGACAAA